TACCCAATGTAGTTGCGGCTTGACGAACATAAATTTTCAGTTTTGATTCGGTGAATAGAAATAGTTTTAAAACTACTCAATTTTCTCATAGATATATTTACAGTTAATATTATTAAATATTACCTCTGTTTCAAAATGATTGTGATTTTAACAAATAAAACTTGTTTCAAAATGATTTTCATTTTCACTTTTCAATGTAGTGATAATTATTATTTTTCCAATTGTATTATTTGCTTTTTACTCTGAATACTACTCTCAATATATTAATAAGATTAATTTTATAAAAATATAATGTCTTATGACAATATTATTACATTTTTTAATCTGTGTATAAAAACCTTAAATCACAACCATTTTAAAATGGAGGATGTAGAAAAAAACTAAATATTTTCAAAAATAATCAAAACACTCGGATGATATATCAAAAATCTCTTTCAATTTGACACGATATGCTAAATTGAAATCCAGTCCTAAATTGAAATGCAGTCATGAGAATGCGTCATTGTTTAATCACTTAAAAAAGAGTTTTGCAAGATTTCAATTAAAACTCTTTAAATTCAAATTCACATTAATCATGCACAACAATAACTATATGAAATATTGGAAATTCTTTGATATAAATAAAACATTATGGCAGGGCGGCGTGACCTTTTAACTAGAAACCCTCCACAGTTAAATTTGACACTCTTTTATTTTTGGTACATTTACGTTAATGCCTTTATAATATATTGAACTTTTAAATTTTCCGATTGCATATAAAAAATTTCAACAGAATATCACAAATTATACTAAATTTATTGTTTTTTTACCACGTTGTTGGGAGATCGGAAATTTCAATTTTTCGGAGAGTCTAACGATGTATCGGAAATTTCAAAATTTTTTATAAGAATTAAAAAATTTCAAATTTTCTATAATAATGAATGCTTTTTTTCCCCATTTTTTATAACTTTTTTTTAGAAAATTGAAACGGTAAAATAGCTACACTACTTAATATATAAATAGAATAACTGTCATATAGCATAAAAACAAACAATAATCACTTCCTACACAAATCTTCTTAGTGTCTAAAGTGACTCACATATGTTGATTCTCATGCTTTTGCATCAGCAATACAATTATGTCTCCAATGGTCTGTGACAGGAGATAATAAACAATCGGGTTTCAACTTTACTTGAACCCAATGATTGTGGTTGATTAAACCAACAACAATGATTGTATGTCAGCTTGTATATATGGGTGGAGCTATAATGAGTGGAAAATGTGACGTTAAGTGTCATGAAAAGGAAAACAAATATGACATTATATCTAGAAGCAATAGGGTAATTCATATCAAGATATGTCGTCCATTTTTCCTTGTCCTACACACCCAGTGTTCTACTCGTAACGCATTTCTAATTGTAGAGACAGTGTCAAAGAACAACTTGAAAAACAACTTAGAGTGTTGATGAACTTGAGAATCTAATTGCGTCAAGGCCAAAGACCATAACTCTTGGTTTCGTCCTAATAAAGATGAAATACACCGGAAACCACAATTTCCATGTTATCAACATCAATAATCCCATCGATGTACGAATGAAAGAAACCAGAAAATTGGGACAAGTATTTATCTTTGAAAGATTTGGTAGAATGTTGCCTACCAATCAGCATGTTTGACGAATGACTTCCAGTTGGTTTTGTGCATAATCTCTTTGTAGTCTGACTCCCCTGCAAAGCCTCAACATATTCTCACTCTCTAAGATCACAATGCACGTCACTCTCCTGACCCTTTCTACTCTTCTTAACTCCCCTCTTTGGCTTATACTTGACCAACGGTGGACACATTGAAGTTGTTGATAGATTTGTTAGATCTCAAACTTTTTTCTTCCACACCCTCTGACCCACAATATCTAGAGTACTGAAATATCTCTTCAACTCTTTACACGCTTCTTCTAAATCCCAAATTCTATTACTCTTACCATGATTGACTGTGTGTTCTGCAATGTGCAATTCCGTCCAGAATACATTAATTGAGTCTAAAAAAACATGATCGTTTGGAATTTGGAAACCGACAAGCTGACACGCACACGGTAACTCACGTGTTGTTCTAATGAAACAATCACACCTATCTTGACTTGAACCAACAAATTTTATCATTTTTAGTTCCTTTCCAATGAGTTGTATACATTGTCTTGAGACAAAACCGTACAACAACATAGAGTGGGATGTTATACTAATGTTCAATATTGACAATTCTTTTTTGAAACAACACTCTAATAGAACCTAGATGCAACTTCAATATGATGTTCAAAGCATCCAACTTTGACATAAATCACCACGACTTGAAGTTAGTATTTTTTGTAGTCTCCAATAAGCAGACTCTACTCTAAAATCCATAAACTGAATAACATGTTTCAAATTGTTTTTGAAATATAAACATGAATAATAATAATAATACTAATAAGATCAAACTGACATGATCAGTGTACCTGTTTGTTATTGAAATTTTTAAATAAGTGACTTTGTTAGTCCATGCAGCAACAAATCTTTATTTATAAGGTGTTAATCATGTTTCATTCATATATTTAACAAATAATATAATATCACCACAAACACTTTCAAAGTACTTGAAGTGTATATCAAACTCATTTTCTGTATTTAAATACATGATGTTGTTCCATTGATCCAGGACATGTTCTTGTCTTTCTGATTTCATGTACTATTTATATTTCATGCTCACGTTTTTTGAAATATAAAACGTGCACAGCATATGAGTTTCATTTGAAAACACGGATTCCATGACATTTGTTAATGCAAGTTCTTGGTCTATCACCACAACCTTTGGTATTAATTTCTCTGAACATAATAACTTTTTGAGCTTCTCTCGTGTCCATGTGAAGTCCTCCTCCCTTTCATGTTCCAAGTAGGCAAAGGCAATTGAAAACGTCAACTTCGTTGACATAACACCAATAATCTCAAGCAGTGATATCTGATACTTGTACGATTAAAATACATATAACCAACTAGCTCACTCAACATCTCCAACATATTTTAAGATGCCAAAAGTAAAATTCTTACCTATTTGTCTTGTACATGCAATGAAAAATACATATCAGATGAAACATATTCAACAATTTCACAAAATCATGATGTGTCCAGAAGATATCAACTACAATATCTGAGTTCTCCCTATTTTTAGTCCTACAAATGTATTTTTCTTTGTGAAAAATGCTCAATAACATTTGCATTTCTATCATTGCACCTATCTTGCACAACATGTATGTTGCTCTAGTTTTATATACATGGATAATACTCGTGAGATTTTCTGAATTTTTGAATTTCAAAGCAAAAATTATGTACCTTGGAGCCATATTGTTTCTTTCATAATCTTTTAGACGTCTCAATGTGTCATGACCTTCCACATCTTTGTCTAATCTATGGTTATACATCTCGCATTTAACCATCATCTTTCATAATGGGGGAAAACGGGCATGCCCGACCCGTTTAGACCCTCCCTGTAAAAACCAGGAAAAAAGCGGGTCTAAAATCTATTCTCGCCCCACAAAAAATGAGAGCGGAGAAAACTCGCGGACACTGCACCTTTTAAGCCTAAAAACATAAAAATTTATGTAAATGCATGCGCCCGCAAAAGCCCGCGTAGAAAACAGAATGGAACAGAACAAACACATTAGAGGGTGAAAGCCTAAACCCTTGACCCACTCCGAACCAAAGTGACCAAAAAATGAACATATGTCCAATAGACCGGTCTCGTTTTGTCACCCCTAATCTTCCAACATACACCCTCCATTCTCTTTTATAAAAAAAAAATTTAATTTTTTAAATTCATTAAATAAATTATAAAAAAAAAAAAATTAATTTATTAAATAAATTATGTATTTCGACTATATATAGACTAGATACATTAATTATGCAATGAATCTAAAAAGTTAAATTTTGCTTATAGACTAGAAAATTTATGCTTTGTACTGAAAATTCTGATAATTTCCTAAATATGTTACAATTTGTAAATCACCCCAAAAATTTTAAAGTTTTTAATAAATCAGCCCAAATATTTTGAAATTTCCAAATAATGACTACCGGAAATTTTTTGGAATTGCCAAATATTATGATAAAGGCGCATTTTCTGTACCAAAAATTTTGTTAACCTACCAAAAGTTTGATTTTTCACCCTTGATCAATAGTAAAAAAATTGACAAACATTAACATTTTAGAGGTAATAACAGGAACATTTTAAGAATAAAAAAGAATCAACGGTGTCAGGTATAATATGAGAGGAGTGTCAAATTAAATGATCAATTGTTTTGGACAATCCAAATACTGTGCCATGTTTGCGGCAAAAAAATAAGGTTAAATATGGTCGAGCGTAAAGAGAAAGGTCAGAGATATGGATATTGCTATAACAAAAATATTACACAAGTGAGAAAAATATTTTTTTTTAATTTTTATATAAAAATCAATTAAGTCTGGTGAGCATATAATTAGAGAACACCAACTCAAACAAATTTAAAATTTATTTTACTATTAAAATCGAATTCAAATAGATCATATATCTCAAATCATTATTTGCTCACAAACATTAAAATACTTTAGACAAAATTCTATGATGAGGGATGTTTGCAAACAGATGGATGCTTAAATGGGAGGAACAAAACTCAGAACTGACATCCAGAATCAATAGAACAAGACCTGATACGATAAGACCGCAAGATATTGTCTTAAACATAGTTTTATTATCCACCAAAAAAAATTCTGTTGGGGGAGGGAGATAGTTTTGATTGATCTCTATAAATATCTCGGTTTAAATTCAATCGTCTTAAAAAAATATAAGAAAACCAGCTAGGTAGCATTTTGGTCAAGAAGTTTATAAAAGTTACAACATCTATGGCACAACAGAAACGAGAACTAACCCCATTATTACACAACTAGACTGCTGCTCTGACAGAGTATCATTGAAAGAAACAATATGCTGTCAACCCGATCTCAATGCACCAACTCAGTGAAACTTACAAACTCCGATAATCAATAACAGTAACTTCTTCTTCAGGGGCATCCAAATCTTGATAACTGCGTCACCATTACGAAATGAGTTAAGCATTCAAGACAACAAACAACACAGTTCAAAAATAAATTTGTGTAGAAAACATATAGGCAAAAGCTAGAAATTTCATCTCCCAAGTTAGAATAATTCTAAAGGCAAAATGTCAATCAAATTCATGGATAGGGAAAAAAGGTATCATGTACTATTAAGCCTTTTTAGCCCTGATTAAAAATGCATAAAATGTTGCAGTACATACAGATTAAAGTCTAAAAATTACAAATGAGGTCCAGCAGAATAATTACCTCCGCATCCGTCGAGGATCAGGTCTAAAGGCGGGAGGAACAGCAATCATAGAGGTCTGTCCCCCTATTTGAGGACCAGAACGCATGGTCATCCCTGAGGTATCAAATGAAGATGGTCCTTGATCCCTAAACATCTGCATCGCAACTTCTGGTGGAGCAGGAACAAAGGGTCCCAGAGGCCTTAATAGATACAAATTATATAAGCACAAAAAACTAATAATAAAGCTATTAATTGGATAGATTCGAGAGAAGTGAAAGAGCAACTAACCCGGCACCAGGTACTGGCATCAAAACTGAAGGAGGAGGGTGCATATCTGAGGAGAATTGAGATACAGCAGGCCCTCCATATGCATCAAACATAGTTTCATCACGGCCACCCAACCGCCTTTCACGGGATGGAGAACTGTCAGGTCTATCTCCATTTGTTCGATCCTGGTCTCGCTGATTCCCACGATCATCTTTCAATCGGCCATCCAGTAATCTACGCTTTAAAGGCCTGTCCTTCTATATAGAGGGAAGGAAGCAAATGGACAGAGTGAGTATTTGAGAATCAAACCATAATGACATATGCAGAAATATTTTGCTAAGCTTAAACCATAAGTTCCCAAGGGTGATACATCATGCTCAGCAGGCAGCATATAGAGGGAAAATTTAATTTAAAAAATGGCTAATTGCATAAGATGTGCAGACCACGTGCAATCATAAAGATGGTTTTAACAAGTCAAGAATCACCATTTATGATATTTTTCAAGATAAAAATTGTATGGTAAATAGAATTTCCAGTATACCTGAGATTGCTGCATGACAGGGGTTCCACCAGGAGCATCCGGATCACTACAATAAGGGTAAGGTCAATAAGTGAGATATTTCCACTACCATTTGCAAGACTAACCACTAAAAGAAAGGCTCGATTAATACTTACTTCATGTAATTTTGAAAATAAAGATCTTCACGCAATTTTGATGTTACTTCCAACACAAGCTCTGGATGTTTTAGCTTGAGATGTTTGTACACAAATTCAACTGCATGAAAAAGCTTTGTGCAACCCTTGGCTCCACAGCCATATTTCCATCCATACTTTTCATCCCTAATCTTTCTAACATATGGATCCAACATGTCGGCTGCTGCAGCATCTATCTTCTCCTTTGCAGACCTTATTTCCAAGGGATCCTGGCCTTCCAACCTTCTCTGCCAAAATGAATCAAGCTTTTTCTCCCATTCTGCCCCCAATTTACCAGTTTCTTCATGCCTTGCTCCTCCTTCTGGTCTCACATGCCTAAAACCCTTGGCATCGTTAGTCTCAAGCATTCCATAATAATCTACGCCGTGAATCCGCCAAAGATATGTTATCAGTGTGTCCAGCAGCTCAACACCTTCTAAGCCCTTAATAGATGTTAGGCCACGGATAATTATTACAGGACCCACAGATCCACTGTGCGCCTTATCACCATTTTTGCTATGATCATTGGTGCATAAAATATTATCTTCAATCCCTTTTTCCTTGTCAAGCTTCCGAACAACAGCCTGAACCTGTTGAATCTCAGCTTGTATCCTTCTAGGTTCAGAACTGACAGGGTGAGCTTTTGGAGCAGCAGAGAAATCATTATCCTTATTAGATCCCCTACCATGTCTTCTTCGTTTGCCAGCGGCATCCGTTTCCTCCTCTGAATTTGGCTCACTGGCTTGCTCGGATCTAGTGGATACAGAGTTTAAACCTGGATTTCTGCATAAATCAGTAGTTCAAGTACTATCATCATTCAATGAATTTTAATAAGCATGAGGAGGAAGAGCAGGATGAAACACACAGAGTGAGAGAAGACTAAAACATACATGTCCAGTGTTCCACTTTGCAAATCAAGCAAAAAATCCTTAGCCAGACGCCGAGCATTTTCATTCCTCCTAAAAGATTATGTGCCAGATAGAGTTCAATATAATTAGATATCTTCAATCAAAATATTAGTCTGCCTGATCTTGCAATCATCCATCAACATGAAGAGCAAGCTGTGTTCAGCTCTTCAACAAATTGCAAGTTCTGAATAAACTCACCTTTCAATAACTGGAAGTAAATTTGTAGGATGATATTTATCTTTCAACCTACATCAAAGTTTAAATCAAATAAAGGAATGAGATGCTACTTTATACTTTACAAAGATGAATATTTCAAGAGTAAATTGAAATTTAAGCAGTGGGAAAAAATGCATACCACTCCTCATCTTTATGAGCATTGAAATAAGCTCGTTTTTGGGTAGTAATATACTCTGATTTGTACTCTTGGTATCTAGAAATAATGGATTATACACATGATTCATCAATAATCAATAAACAAACCAGAAATTCTTTAGTAATAGGAGCTTAAAAAAATGTAAAAGGATGTTTTTTTTAACTTACCTACGCTCCGCTTCAGATGGGAGTATATCATCCTCAAGCTCCTGAATGAATTGCTTATAGGACATTAATCCCTCTCTGAAATAATTCACAAGCTCTTCAAGTGAATAAACTTACCCCAAAACATCACATTGTCAAGTTCAATAGAGTAAAATAGAAGCAACCAACGTCCCACAAATCAGCAATAACATGACATAATAAACATTTAAACAGAACTTCCATAACTACCCTTCAAAGGAATAAAAAGGAGGTATTGTAAATAATAAATGCAATTTTCTAACCTACTAATATAAAAGACAAAAGCTGTAAACACACTGATAACCCGTTTTCTTTTTATTCAGCATGTGTGACTGCATGACTCAAATAAGCAGATTTGGCATCTTCTCTTAAATCTTACATATCTCGGATGTATGGCATTCAGCCACTGGATTCAAAACCCTGGTCCCTATCAGGCTATCACACACTCAAGAGATATTTAACAAAAGTTTAAGCATGGGGCAACAACAAGCTGGCATCAAAAGCAGACTAGTAGACAAGACAAAAGCACCATAAGCCGGATGAACCAAAACTCTTACGCATTTCACGAGCTAGTAAGAAATGAAGAGATGCATCAGAAGAACTTTGCTCGGGTAGAAATTCTCTTCAAGGTTCTAGCAAAGGACAAAATCAAAGCCTTTCAAACAATTCAATTTCCTCAATGAAGAAATGCATCAGAACATTCTCTAGCAGAAATTCTTCCTTCAAAGTTCAAGCAAAACATAAATCCTTGTCTTTCAAACAAATCTAAATTCCTCCAAAGAATTAGACAATGACCATAAGCCCAATAAAAACAACAACTAGAGCATTTTCCCCATTAAGTGGGCTAGACTACATGGAGCAAATGATGCCATAATATTGAAGGACCATACAAAAAGTAGACCATTTAACTTTGTGTCTTTCTAACTGGCTAGGACAATGTTTTTCTTTGGTATCCCTATATCTTTAACCTTTTGACTATCATATCTTTAACCTTTTGACTATCATCCGTCTAGTTTAACATCCTTACTGATGCTTTTACAGGATGAGAACTATATGGACTTCCACTCAAACTGATTTGATTACTAATCATATCTTCTTTTGGATGACCATTGATCTATAACATAATATTCTTAATCATCAACGCTGACCTTTCTTTCTTGCTGGCTAATTATCGCCCAGCATTCTAACAAATTCACCGAAAAACAGATGATTAAAGAGCAAACCTGAATGAGAATGCTAGGGTGGAAATAGGAGAAGACAGGCCTTAGTAGCCTGTGTCGGGCCTATGTTAATTTCTAGAGTCTGAGTCTGGCCTTTGGCCTATTATAGGCTTCTTTTTTTGGCTCGGCCTGGCCTTTTTAAAAGTCGGGTCTGACCTGAGAGCCTATTTAAAAGCATGTCTCACAAAGACTTTCAAATAATTCATTTTACCTATTTATTTTAAATAGACAACACTGACTCTTATAAGTCGCTTTCAAATGATTTCTTCTGTTTTTTATTATAAGTCGCTTTGAAAAAAATATTTGCACCACTATAAATCATTTTGCACAAACCAATAAAGCATTAATGTTATTTTTCCTATTATATCCTCTCCTTTTAATTATGAAAATTTATCTTTCCCACACCATTAATGAAAGACAATTTTGTAAAATCCTTCATCATTTTTCTTTTTTATACAATAATGAAAGACAATTTTAATTTGGAAAAGATAAATTATGAAGGATTTTACAAAATTGTCTTTCATTAGTAGTATGGGAAAGATAAATTTAAAGAATGGAAAGAAGAGAGGATAATAAATACTTAAGAAAATGATAGAAAAAATAATATTAATAATTTATTAATGGTGTGGGAAAGATAAATTTAAAGAATGGAAAGAAGAGAGGATAATAAATACTTAAGAAAATGATAGAAAAAATAATATTAATGATTTATTGGTATTGTAAAACGACTTCTAATTTGATACATAATTTTTCCACAAAGCAACTTAGAATAAAGTACCGGAAGGAGTAATATAGATATGCATATATAGGTCGGCCCATAAGGCTTCATAGACTTTTTTAATAGTTTAAGTCTGACCTATTTAATTAAATAGGCTTTTAAAAAAGCTTAAGCCTAGGCCTTTGTATTAAATAGGCCAGGTCAGGCTATAGGCCACTGTAGGCCGGTCAGGCCTATACCCATCAAGAACGCTAACAAGGTGTTCAGGCAAAAATGAATTACAACTATAAGCATAAATTTTACTATAAAACAAATTAAGAGAGCAGTTCAAAACATTTTTTAAGCATGTCATATTTAGGGTAAGATGCAAATAGGTTTAAAATATTAATTAGAGAGAAGACAGGGTTTAAGAAGACCAAAAGTAATCATAACGATGATAGGAAAACGAACATGATTGCAAAAAACTACATGAAACTTGTTGGATAAGAAGGAACGACAAGAAATTAGAAAAAGAAAACCAAGCAGGCAGGCGGGCGAAAGAGAAACGGATAGGATATTAAGTGTAAAATTTTGTTTCAAATACTATTTGGAAAAATGAGCTACAAATTTTATATTGTCAATGCTCAAGGCAAAGCTAGACAAGATAAAATTAAACATGTGGAGAGAAGACATGTAGAATATGTGGTAAGGAGAGTAGATCAGATGGAGACGAGTGAAAGAGCTAAAGGTAGAGAAAAACCTAAAAAAACTATAAGAGAGGTTATTAAAAAAGATTTAAACATTCACGATTTGAGAAAAGCATGGTCCTAGATATAACATTATGGCGAAAGATCTAAGACTTGGTTGTTGTTGTTGTTGTCAACGCTCAGGGTAGAAGGAGAACCAGATACAATGTTGTGCATCGGTCTGTAACGGTATTCTAAAGGTGAACTTAACTAGAATAACCTAAAAAATTTATGAAATGGAGGTCCAATACTAAATATGAAGAAAAGAACACTAGGAGAAGATATAATCAATGAAGATATATACTAGTCAATTTTAAAACCTTTCTCGTGTACATAATATTTGTTCATGAATGTATTATGTTTTCTTATGGCTACTTCATTTAACATTTCAATGTTGATTCACAAGGACTGCCCTCACTAGGTAAATCCAGAGAAGGTCATGTGTGTGAATATAGCAAAAAACTATTCAACTTAGGTTATTTTCATTAAACTTTTTATTTTCACAAGTATCTCCTGTGAGCACACAGATAAAGTGATAAAGCCCCAGCTACCAAAGAAGACTCCGGGACTGTTTGAAAAAAGTGGCAAATTGACAAAAATGAGGAATCTTTGCCCTCTTTACCACTTCTCTCAAACAGACCCTTAGTGTTCTTAGACAACAACTGTCCTCAGATGTTTTCCAGCACTTTGTCCTCACACTCACACTGCATTTGTTTGGATCTGAATACAAATACCCATTTATGTTGACATCACATGCACACGTTAAGCTCCTCCAAAGAACACACATAATCTCATCTCCAAGTGGCCCAAGAAATAATAGCACTTAATAGAGTCTGGCGCTGACCTTGTATAATCACTATAACAGATCCTTAGTGTTCTTAGATAACAACTGTCCTCCAATATTTTGCAGCACCTTGTTCCTCCTTACACTCACACTGCATTTGTTTGGATCTGAATTACAAATAAACATTTATGTCTAAGGGAGAATTGGGGTGTTGACATCACACACACACACACACACACACACACACACACACACATGTTAAGCTCCTCCAAGAACGCCCATAATATCATCTCCAAGTGGCTCGAGAAATAGTAGCACTTAATAGAGTATGGGTACTGCTGATCTTGTCCTTGTATAATCACTATAACAAGGTCAATCTTAAAGTGAAACCACACATTTAAGATATTGGAACATTTGCATTCAAGATTATTTAAAAATTCCTTAACAGCATAAACCTCTAGATCCCGTGTTTCAGATCCGACACTCTTAATCTATTGGAACGTTTGTCATATTTACTTTGTCAACAACCTTCCCATTGATGAGATTTGTTGTTTGTTTCCCAAGAAATACATGATACATGCAGGTAATACAAGTTATTCATAATTTAAATTACTAAGTACAAAACTGACCTTCGAGCACCTCCACTTGGCCCATCTGCATAACCACGAGCGGCATCTAGATCTGCAAAAGACAAAACCATAACATAAAGAACATTTCAAGTTTCAACAATAAATTCACTTCACCCCTGAAAGAAAAGATAGGCATGCTTGATAGCTCGTAGTGAGAGATACTTTGTCACAAACTGTTCCCAATTAATTGAAAATGAGACTTGGAAAGAGATAACAGTTAACTTGAATATAAACACCAAACACCAGCCAGGGGGACACACACACGCACACACCCTCCATCAAGAGTTGGGGAGAGAAGAAAAAAACTGCATTGGTTTAAGAATGCATGCAGGGGACGTGACCGAAAGAAAATCATGTCAGACCAATAAAAAGCAAACAAGCAGAGTCTTTATAACAGCCGAAAAGCAGCACGCATGTCATTGATGCCACAAAATTACAGTTCGAAAACTAAATTCAGTGCTCAATTTTGAATGACAAGATTGGTAACAGTTTGACTTCCATAAGAAGAAAAAAGTAAAGCAATAAATTCAATAAAGGAAAAAGAAAACAAAGCAGATAGAGTAATTCATAATTTATAAAGATATACTAATGGATTCTAAACATATTTGATGCAGCATCTGAAGAAGTAACTTTTTAATACATGAACAATTTTTAAAACATGATGCATAAAAATTCAAACAACTTTGGAGCATAGTTATCAATCTCAAACTGCAACTTCATGCGGCCAGGGCCCAAAAATCTGAATAGACTAAAGACCGTGATAAAATACATACTAAATTATAGGATTGTGATATTCATATATGTGATAAAGAAAAAATCTTTTAGACTGTATGTTTGGGACAAGCAGACTAATCATGTTAATTCACTTGCTACTAATACTGAAAGAACAATCTCTCTTTACAATTTGGATAGAGTCTAACTCAACCTTACAATATTGGCTTATAAAGTGAGGATTACCCTTGCGTATAAGCTATGTTCAGGCCATATTTCATCCATGTGAGACTCTTTAAAACGCCTCTCACTCCCACCACTATTGGGTTTGGTGTATGAATATAAATGGCGGGTGACCCGATAGCGGAAACTTGATAGCAGATGACTCAACAGATATAGAACTAGGCTCTGATACCATCTTAAAATTTGGTTTGAGTCTAACTCAACCTTACAAAACTGGCTTGAAAGAGGAGGATTTCCCCGCTTATAAACATATGTTTAGGCCATACTTCATCCAATGTGAGACTAGACCTTGCAGCACTATTTATTATGTTTTATGTGTTTACAGTACATTATTAGTCTCCATATAATAGAACGTACAGCTAGCTTAGGAGGCCAGAAGTCCAAAACATTTTATGCACAGTTTCTTAATATTCTAAACAATATAAAAATTACAGATCATTCAAACAAGTACAAAACCTTGCCCTGAGCAATAACACCATTTTAATTTTTAACATTCATTAGTAAATAACAAATGCAACACTAAAACCATGCCACCAAATGCAATAAAAGAAACTATGCTATTATACATACATATCAATATTCAATAATGGGAGTAATTGAGTTTAATAAGCTCAATCAAAAGAAAAAGACAAGAACTAAAGTTAAATTTAAATTTCATTTATGTGTTTTAAGAAAAACAAGATTTGATAATTATTTGCATGTTTCAATTATTAATGTACCAGAAATTCCGTTTTGATATCCCCCTGCAGATCGATGTGGAAACCTGCCAACAGGTCTATCATCTGCATAACCACCCCTTCCGCCCACTCCCCTTTCATAGCCGCCACCAAAGTGATCATAGCCAAATCTGTTTTGCTCACATAGCAATGTAATTAAAGAGAGGAAATGTTAGCAAAGTGTCTAATGCATAGAGTAACATGGATGGAAGGGTAACATGGATGAAAATAAACAAATAATACAGAAAAGAATTGCATGCTCTATAATCTAAATATATTTTTACACGGGTTTAATTGGTATAAACTGTCAGTGTAAAAGGTTTTACCATGAAAACAAACCACCAATCAAATGAAAGACACTTATAAGTAGTTATGAATAAAGTTAACATTTTTAACTTTTTATTGATCTAACAAGTATGATTGATTGACATGTGTAAAACATCTTCATACAAATTAAATCATTTTACAAGAATGAAATCTTTCAAATGAACAAAAGTATTACATTACCGATGACTCTGAATATATAAGTATAACCGTTAATCATCGAGAAGTCAATTACAAATGGTGTAATTTTGTAAGAAATCATAAACCAGAACAGTTCATAGCGCTCAATTTCTTTTAAACATGTTGAGTACAGTTGTAGAATATAAACAAATTTGACTTTGAAACTTCAAAGACGTGAATTGAAACTTGACAAAAAACACAAACCTAATAAATCCAATATCCTTCAAAAGTTAAGACTTCATTATTTCTTTACAAACATAATTGGAAAAGCATGGTTATCTAAATGAGAGATGTATGCATAACTAAAAAAAGTGAAATAGATTGCAAATCAATAAAGGGGAAACAATAGAGGATAACTATCATCAATGGAAAGCAGAAAAATAAATAAATAAAACACAAGTAGCAATGTAATGTTATTCCACCTGGATTCTAGTAAGTAACCAGTACAAATGACGGATCGTCAATCACATAAAGCCAAAGACAATAGTAGTTCACATTTACTCCTCTGTTAATAGTAATCCACAACTACATTACAAACACACACTCATTCAAAATAAATGTCCATGGAGAGTTTTTAACTCAACAATGACAAACCACTTTGACATTAACGGCAACTTGTAAAATCATCATTTTTAAGTGGAATTAAAAGAATAAGTTGGAGTGGAAATTTCTTTGACGAAAAAAGGGAAGGCTTAGGCAGGCAGGCAAGGAACGCTCATAAACAAACAGAAAACAACAAAGAAAAATAAACAATCGATGGAAAAAAGCTTCTCAATCCTTAGACATTACTAGTAAAACCCCTTCAACAAATCCTTGAGTGCCAAATAGAGATGCCAAAACCCCTATTTTGTCAAAGAAATTTCCTTGAAAGTTAGATTCACACTCCAACCAAATGCCTACTTGGTAAAGTAAAAGCATATACTATTTCGGAAAGGATATTTAGAACATCATGGCTTAGCTACTGATGTTGTAACTTTAATGAATGTCGATTAAATTTTCAGCACTACAAGAATTATATATTAATATCATATATTATTAATTTCCCCTACTTTAAAAATTCCTTGAGATAAAAACCATAGAAAACTGCCAAACCATCAGAGCATTAACTCAGAGAACTAATTACTACAATGAACCATGAGCTACATTAGATAAATCTCCCAATGAAAAAAAATACAAAGAATCTTACAAAAAAAATAAGAGATTCGCATCACAATTCACAATAGCTTTTCATGTTTAACAAGCCCCCGGATTTAACTTCTCCATAAATACTTCTAAGCTTACAAGATTTGATTTTCAAAATGAAGAATCATAAATAAATAACTATGAATCTAACAATTCAAGCCAAAAATTCCAAATTGAAACGAGCTACCCTAATCTGAAGTTCATATAACTAAAACCTAACCCTAGATTAAATATTCTCAATTACTCATAAAACTACAATTATCAGACGATTAATGCATAATTAACTCGCCTGTCGTTAGGTCTATGCGGGCTCCCCCTTCTGGATCTCTTAAACGGAGGAGGCGAACGTCGAGACTGCTGAGGAGGAGAATAGCGGCGGTCACGGTAATTAGGGCTAGGGCTGCGACGGCGTTTGTCACGGTTGTAGAAACCACCTCGTCCACCGCCTCGGCCGCCGCGGAAGGGACGGCGATCGAAATCCCTGTCGTCGCGAAAGTCTCTCCGACGAGGGAGAGGTGGAGGAGGGAGATCGTCGTCGGCTGGAGGAGGATGAGGAGGCAGGGGATTCGGAGGAGGAGCAGTGGTGGGAGATCGGTCGTGAGATTCGGGAGGTAAGTTAATTACCTCTGCCATGGAAAATGGAAGAAAGAAGAAAACCCTAACGGTAGAGAGAAATGGATTCGGTTACGATGTGTGTGGGGTTTGGGTTTTATGCGTTATGTTCACCAAATGAGTGTGTTTTTTACTTCTCTCAGCGACGGCATCGTCGTTGTAGCAACGGGATAGGAAAGTAAATTTGCGATGACCGTAAATACCCAGTATGTTTTTAATAATACAGTCTTCTAAAAAAATAAATGAGTCAAAAGAGAACATTTATTTAAATAATTTTAATGAAAAATAATCTAAGAAAATTGGTTGTTAGATATCAATGAGTTTTGAGAATTTTTTTAAAATTATTATTTTTTTTAAAAAAATCTTAAATAATTATTTTTTCAAAAAAATTATCAAAATAATCACTTTTAAAAAAAAAATCGTCACACCGAGGTCAAGCCACTTTGTGTGGCGCATGTATGTAAATTAGAGAGAAAGCGTCGCACTGCATGGTTTGTTCTCTTATGAATTGTCATACAGTGTGGTGTATGTATGTAATTTTAAGGAGAAGATGTCATGTTAGATGGCTTGATAGTTGTTATTAATTTTTTTTAATAATAGAGGTAATTAAAAATATTTTATATTAATATTTTAAATTACACAATGCATAGATAGATATTTTTATGGACGTCTCCCTCAACCTAAGTGTGTCCTTGTATGACATAAACACCAATGTCTTTGCCTCACCCCTTGTCTCACCACTTTCTGTTGAATTTCCTGAGGTGTTTGGGATATGTTCTGACTCGCTTGATGATGAGGTGTTTGATGTAATGGTCCTGGTACATTAAGACCATACATCTCCTCGGTCATTTCTCCCCACTGTGTTGTGCTTCCAAAGAGATTGGTGTCCATGTTGTTGAAGTTTGGTCTTGTTGGTTGGGATATGTGTGGGTGGGGTGGTTAATAGAATTGTGATGTTGAATCGTTTTGGAAACCAAGCAACGGTTCTTGAGGTGTTTGAAATTTGTATGATGGTTGGGTACTTCAATGGTGTGATGTTTGACTGTATGTAGATTGGGTAATATGGTAAGAAGGAGAGATATCATATGTGTCTTCGGTGTTATGGTAGGATGTGGAGGGTGCATATTATTGGTGGTGAGTCGGGTCATGCTCTTAGTATTGTGTTTGTGTGTGTGTGTGACATGAATTGATGACGGTTTTGGTTAGATGTGGTGGTGTGTGGTTGTTGGATTTGAGTGGATTGACATTCTTGTTGGGTTTGGTATTGTTGAGGGGTTGGATGTTGAGGTTGTTGTTGGGCGTATGATGCAACTCTTTTGCATGGGTCGATCAAATATGTCTCATGAGACAAACAAATTTGTTGAACTAATGTGTACCATGTCAAATATTAGAGAGTTGGTTTTAAGTCATCTTGCGAGATCGGCTCCCTTAGGACTACTTCACGCTGATGCCTCCATTGACGATATTTATTTCTAGCGAAGTCTCTCGAATCAATAAATCTCCATTGGTCATCAACTTTGAGTAGATGTCATTGTCTCAAACACGTAAGGGGTCTGGGATACCCTGTTGTATGTCGAATTGTAGCTTCACACAATCACGGTGGTGCATCTCCACGGTAGTGAACCTGATGAGCATTATTTTTGCAGTTCAGACTTCAGCGTCTGTTGGGTTAATCTCATAGTCGAGATCGTTATACGGCCTCCATACAAACTGTTGAGGAAAAAGAGTGTTAATCTAATATTAATATTAAACTTAATTAACATATTGAAAGTATTGTGTAAAATATGTAAGCTTAATACATCTCTGAGTCCAACATGATCAATAAGATTTCGGTAGACTACTATTGTGTTTTTAGGGGATTTATTGTAATTCATCCTAGAAACAATCCAGCTACGGTAATTGGGAGGAGTCGTACAAAGAACTTCCAAGGTTTTTGGTGGCACTCAAATATTATGCTCTGAGAACTGTTATAATTTTGGAGACACTCCCGATATTTACCCCAGACAGAACTCGTGTCAGTGAAAATGGAATATTTCATCAATTGTTTTGGGCGTATGAACCATGCGTCAAAGGTTTTGCATTTTGCAAACATATTATACAGATTGATGGAACTTAGTTATACGAAAAGTATAAAGGAACATTACCATGGCAGTGGCACAAGATGGCAACAGTAATGTTTTTCTACATAAAAGAAAAACAAAACATCAACACTTAAATTTTAGGTGCTTAAAATATTTTTTCTAATATTCTTTTATTTATCTTTGGCTATTTAAATTTATAGAAAAATGTATAGGTTGTATTCTTTAATTCTAATAGCGTAGATTTTCTTTTCTCATATTTTCTCAATTATGTAACTGCTCACAGGATGTAATAGTGTAGGTTTACTTTTTCGTGAATTTTTATACTTAGGTATTTACATTCTACACTTTATTTTTTTTGCATATATTTAACTGCTAGTAATCAGGGTTTGTATGACAAGACTAAAAATAAACATAGAAAACCCTAATTCTCAAGACTAAATAACTGAAATCAATATACTCTTCACGTTTGCACCTCTAGAATATCATCTCTTGTTACCTTACGAAATATTGGTCACGTCTCTCAAAAGTGGAGATACTTTAGCAAAAAGATCCTCGATCAAATTATCATAGTTCCTTTTGAATAAGGATCATAATTCCTCGATGAACCTTCGAGATACCTACAAAATAATCTAGTCCCTTCGATGACCCTACGAGCAAAATAATGATAGTCTATTCAATGCAATTGCTAAAGTATCCTTACGTGTTACCTTCGATGACCATACGATGATCCTACGCATGTTCCTTGTCATCCAATAGACAGGGTTACCTACCAGCTAATGGTATGGATAACACTATCTCTAAAAAAGAAGGAAAATAATAAGAAAGACTTTAGTGGGTAAGAAACTCCTAATTGCTTGCTCATAACTTTTCTCACAAACAAAACATTTCTCACACTACACTTTCAAACAAATATTTTTCAAAAATACTTTGTACGCATTCTTTAAGACTTATACAAGAATCTTTACAAAGTTAGTCTTACATTGGCTTTTTAAAATATTTTGAAACAAATCACACACACAAATCAAGTTTTTTAAAAGTGAGCTAAGCAATTAAGAGTCCATAGATAACTACGAATGAAAAGGGTGCTAACACCTTCCCTTTTCATAACTTACCCGCTGAACTCAAAATCTATCAATGTCTTTCCTGTTCTTTTTACCCTTTCCTAAATATTAGATAAAAGAAAAGTCGATGGCGACTCTTACTATCCACACATTTAGATAAAATCAAAAAAGTCATCTCTCTCACCGTATTACAATGAGATGCCCAAAACACATATGAGAACCATGTATTGCCATAAATACAATAAGTCTCACGCAATAACTTATAATTCAAGTAATGTACTGAAGAATCATGCCATTCCCTAATGAACGACACTCCATAAGAAACCTTTTGATCACCATCTGACTTAAGGAAATAAACCCTAATTTCAATGGTACTTACAAGAATAAGAAGGTGATCCTCAAATGCATTAGAAAGAAACCCTCTTGAAATCTTTGCATCATAAGTGCTAATGAAGATACACACCACATACGATGGCCCAAGATATAAGATACCTTGAGAAAAAGCCCATGAGGAATGCATGACCAAAGCCTTTAAGTCCATCTGATAATCACAAACACATATAGGCAAACCCTGAATGATGAGTAAGAAAATTCAACCTTGAATGAAGATGAGAGTCTCAAGGCAATAAAGTAACCCAAATTTCTCTAGATCCTTGATCCCATGCCAAATTTGTATTGATTAATGATGCATGATATATTAGATGGCTTAATAAAGGGTATGTACATGAGGAATATGAGATGCATAAGCCAGATGATAAAGGATATGACAAATTTGGGAGTATGACAATTTTAATCATTGATGGTCACTTTCATTAAAAGTTGAAGGTTGTGTAATGTGTGTGACACATTTGACATGCCGTTGTCAAATTAAACTGCTCACCAACTACTGCATTCAATTTACGGTTAAGCAGTATTCTTTTTCCTTGCATTTGAATTTTGTTCGGCACAATCTTGAATTATTCAATCTTGAATTTTGTTCGCCATCGACTTTTCTTTTATCTAATATTTAGGAAAGGGTAAAAAGAACAGGAAAGATCTTGATAGATTTTGAGTTCAGGGGGTAAGTTATGAAAAGGGAAGATGTTAGCACCCTTTTCATTCGTAGTTATCTATGGACTCTTAATTGCTTAGCTCACTTTTAAAAAACTTGATTTGTGTGTGTGATTTGTTTCAAAATATTTTAAAAAGTCAATGTAAGACTAACTTTGTAAAGATTCTTGTATAAGTCCTAAAGAATGCGTACAAAGTATTTTTTTTAAAATATTTGTTTGAAAGTGTAGTGTGACAAATGTTTTCTTTGTGAGAAAAGTTATGAGCAAGCAATTAGGAGTTTCTTACCCACTAAAGTCTTTCTTATTATTTTCCTTCTCCTTTAGAGATAATGTTATCCATACCATTAGCTGGTAGGTAACCCTGTCTATTGGATAAGAAGGGACATGCGTAGGATCATCGTATGGTCATCGAAGGTAACACGTAAGGATACTTTAGCAATTGTATTGAAGGGACTATCTTTATTTTGCTTGTAGGATCATTGAAGGGACTAGATTATTTTGTAGGTAGCTCGAAGGGTCATCGAAGAATTATGATCTTTATTCAAAAGGAACTATGATAATTTGATCGAGGGTCTTTTTGCTAAAGTATCTCCACTTTTGAGAGATGTGACCAATATTTCGTAAGGCAACAATAGAGGATATCCTAGAGGTGCAAACGTGAAGAGTATATTGATTTCAGTTATTTAGTCTTGAGAATTAGGGTTTTCTACCTTTGTTTTTAGTCTTGTCATACAAACCCTAATTACTAGCAGTTAAATATATGCAGAAAAAATAAATTCTAGAATGTAAATACCTAAGCTATTACATGGCTTTGGGAGAGATACATA